TATTGTTTTGTTCTAAAAAAACATAAATAATGTGGAGATTTTGAACACGGCGTTACTAAATAAGTGGAAATGGCGAATTTTGAAGGAGAATGAGGCGGTTTGGAAGAGTATTCTAAAGTATAGATATGAGAATTCGGAATTAAAAATTCTTATAGGTGATAAAAGTGTGTTGAATAAAAGGGACTCTATTTGGTGGAGGGACCTTTTATTATTCGATAACTACGTCAACTTGTCAAGTAACCATTTTGCAGGAGCGATAAACTATTGTGTGGGAAACAGAATGAACATTCCATTTTGGTACGCAAACTGGATTGAAAATAAATCTTTGATGGAGGCTTTTCTCGACGTTTTCGTGCAGGCTGCGGATCACAAAATTGCAGATGCTGGTTCTTGGACTGCTATCGTCTGGACCTGTCAGTTTGCGGATCTGGTTGTTGACAGTAACAAAATCTCGCCTTCTCTCTGGCTGGAATTCTGTGATGTTGTCTCGCTTATGTTGGTGCAGGAAAATGGGCAGGATGCGTTCAAGTGGAAGCGAGATATTGAAGGAATTTTTCGGTTAAATCTTGTTATGACTTATTTAGCAGGAAACTTTCTGGCCCACCTCTTTTGGTGGATGTTATGAACGCTATAAAGCACTTATGGAAGACAAAACTCCCGTCTAAATTGACTTTATTCAGGTAGAGGGTTATCCTTAATAGATTACTGACAAAGAATTAATTGAGGAAGAAGAGTATTTTGTCGGAAAGTAGAGATTTATCGTGTGTCTTGTGCATGGAGGAGGAGGAAATTTTATCGCATCTAATGGATCTTTGCTCTATATCTTCGAGAATTTGGAGGAAAGTGTCTTAATGCTTCGGTGCGATGGAGGAGTTAACTTTGTCGGAATTTGAATCGTTCTTTGTTTATTGCGAGAAGGTGAAGTGCCTTTTCAAAAGGTCGATCGTTGCGGTTATTTGGTTAGCAACGGTTTGGAGCCTTTGGTTAAAGCACAATGCATTCATATTTAAGGAAGAGTCATTTAACTTTGATGATTGCATGTCTGAGATAGTTATTAATTCGTCGAAGTGGTTAAACACCTATTATAATAATATAATCTCTTGTAATTTTCATGTTTAGAATATCCTACCTCTCCTTTGTTTTAGAAAGTAGGAGTTTTCCTATTATTTTCCGAGCAGAGTATCCCTTGTACTTCTTTGAATGAATTCTTACTTATTAAAAAAACATAAAACATGTCATTATCAACATTAATTCAAGTAATTTATTTCACTTCAATAAAATTTTGTGATCTCAATAATTTATAGTTAATAGAACCATAGGATATTTTTAAAACTATTTTGAAAATTGTAAGGTATAAATTATTATTTTCATAGGACTAAAATCAAAATGATCTATATTTATGAAGACCAAAACGATATTTAAATCAAATTCAATATATATATATATATATATATATATATATATATATATATATATATATATATATATATATATATATATATATATATATATATATATATATATATATATATATATATATATATATATATATATATATATATATATATATAACTACTTTTATTTACTATATTTATTACTCACATACCAAGAAAGATCAAGTAATGCTAGTGCCTTATTTCTAGTTAAATTAAATTAAAAAAAGTAATTATAAATAACTTATCAATGATTTTCAAAGTTTTTTTCATTTCAATTTGATATTTGAGTTTTTTTTTTTGTTTGTTTTTTGCATAAGACTATGTATAATGGAGATGTTGACATTTTTTTTAATAGTTGAATATTTATAACAGAGTATTGAATAATATGTTGAAAATAATGTGAATTAATTGATGCTGAAAATATTCAATATGTTGAATGGAGAGGGAGTGAGTCACATATAATACTTTATAAATTTTATTGGTTGTGATTATTTATATTTTATTTCATCTTAATTATTTGGAACTAATTATTTTATAGTAAATTAATTTTTTATTTATTTTCATTTTCACCAAAGTCCATCATTTTTTTTCTCTATAAATAAAAATTTGATTCATTAGATTTGGACACATAAAAAATTTATTTTTTTCTCTCTAAATTTTCCATTTAGCCTCCTATAAACTCTTGTTTGTAGCTCTAAACATCTTAGTGAAATGAATCCCACCAATAACTTTTTTAACACTCAAAATTCTACTGATTACTCTTTCAACTACCAAAATTCCAACAATTATATATTTCAAAATCAATCTTCCAACCAACAAGGTCCCCAAAATATACCAAATTATGGATTTCCTCCAAATTTCATAATATCGTCATCTATTCCAAATTATCGTCCATATTATGGATCAATGATGTCATATTCATCTCAATCACCTCCTGATTATTCTTCTACTCCAATGGGAAATGAAAATGTTCAGAATGTTAGACTTGATGAATTTCCTGAATTTTCTACACAAATGACTTTGGTGCCATGAGCGGTGGTCAAGGAGCCACTCCAAATATAGAGGATTCAACTCATGTACGCCGAAAAAACCCCAAATAGACACTGATCAAAATTTGGTCCTAATTAGTGGGTGCATTAAATATGAAACAAACAATGTTATTGGGAGAAACCAAAAAAGTGATCCACATTGGGGAAAATTTGTTGATTACTGTAATGAGCATTGCTCATTTGATCCTCCCCGTGATGGAGCTGCATGCAGAAGTCATTACAACTACATGAACAAAATACTTAATAAATGAATTGGCGCTTATGGTAACGCTAAGCATGTGTAACAAAGCGGGTGGTCGAAAAATGATGTATTGATAAAAGCACATGAATTATATTCAAGTGATAAGAGTGGATATTTTCTTTTAATGTCAAAATAGCTCGCTGTCTGTGATCAATCAGTTATGATAGTCAGGTAGGAGGAAATACTAATTCTAAAAATAGTAGATCTAAGAGAGCCCACGAGAGTGATGCAAGTGATTCTAACTCCGTATGATCAAGTGCCCGCTCAATGGGGAGGGCTGCAGCTAAAAAAAAGATTAAAAAAAGAAGAAGCAAGGGTGCAAAATAAAGAGTGGAATGAATTCAAGCAATTTAAGGAGAAAAAATTGGAACGATTGGACAAAATAACCATGAGGCAAGAGGAGGCTAACGAATTGTTGAAAGAAAGTACTGAGACTAAGAAGATGAAGATGAAGCTAAGTTCAAAAGAGCATCTTAATCCGCAATCTGTTTGAAAATTAAGCGTTGTCAAGTTGTTATTTGTAGTTTGTCACATTATTTGTTTCTAGTTTGCCACATTGTTTTATTTGTAGTTTGTCACATTATTTTGTTTGTAATTTGTTATATTATTTATTTGTAGTTTGTCACATTATTTGTTTCTAGTTTGTCACATTATTTTTTGTTTGTAGTTTATCACATCATTTGTTTCTAGTTTGTCACAATGTTTTGTTTGTTAGTGGAATGTGGGAGTTCTCGGGAATGATTGGGAGTATTAATTGCATGTACTGAGAATGGAAAAATTGTCTTACATCATGGGAAAGTCAATTTATTCAGAGAAATGGGGAACCACCACTATTATTCTTGAAGCAGTTACAACTTATGATCTATGGATTTGACATGTCTTTTTTGGATGTTCGGACACATTGAACGATATAAACGTTCTAGATCGTTCACCTGTGTTCGATGATGTTGAACAGGGAAATACTCCAAGAGTGAACCTCTTTGTGAATCTATATCGGTATAATATGACATACTATCTTGCTGACTATATCTACTCTTCTTATCCGACTTTCGTCAAATCAATTAGACTTCCTCAAAGTGAACCAGATTAGTTATTTACAAAATATCATGAGGGATGTCGGAAGGACATCGAACGTGCATTTAGGGTGTTGTATGTTCGATTTAAAATCATCTGTGAACCAACCCATTTGTGGGACATAGCTGATTTAGCTCTCATCATGAGGACATGTATCATATTGCATAATATGATTGTTGAGGATAAACAAGACACATATGCTCTACACCGGAGTCATTCTCAACCAAGAGCTACCTGTATTTGCAAATCAAGTGTGTTAGATCTGTGATGCATGATTCAAATGTACATCACGAATTACAAGCAGATCTAGTCAAACACATATGAACAAAATTCATAATGTTTCATGATTAAATAGATTGTTTGTTAGCCAAGTCTATTGTACTAATTAAATTATGTGTGTTTCATTTTAAGTGTGTTGTGTGTTTAGTGTATTGTATTGCATTTTTAGTTTTTTGAAATTTTATCTCATCTTTATTACTTGCAAGGAAAAAATTAATTAAGAATATAAAATTTTAAAAAATTCAAATAACTTCTTAAATTAAAAAATAAATAAAACATTATTTAACTCTTAATTATTTTAATTTAATTTTATTCGATAATTGATATTAATATATAATCATAAAAACAAAAATATACAAGAAAATAAAAATATGAAATAAAAGTGATGGGATATAGTGTCAAATTTTATTAAACAAAATCATTCTAATGAGTAAAAATTGAATGGGTGTTAAATTATTAGGTGGAAAAAAGAGAAGATGATATGGAGTATAAAAAATAAAAAAGGAGGGTGGTAAATATGTAAATCATTGTACATAGTCTACTGTGGATACAATTTTAAATTTACTTGTGATTGGAGGTGAATAAAGTGCTCAACAACAAAAATACTGTACAGAAAATTGTTTTTGTAATAGCCTTGTAAGTACAAAATTATGTGGGAAACCCTCAGGACTGGCCCACAATATTTACAGAAATATACCCCATCATAAACTAACTTACGAATATTCAAAAGTTAAAATACCTTTATGGAAACTAAAATCCTAAGATGAAATGGTGGGGCATTTCTTTTTTCTTTTTTCTTTTTCTACTTATATATATACCAACACTAGTCAGCAGATTAGCAAATATTTTGGTTCTCCAACTGTCATGTACCTCTCAAGCAATACTTTACCTCAGTGCCGTCTAGTCTTTATCAACAGAAAGTTAAACCAATGTGTCAGCTCTTCGAATATTAAATTTGCAGAGCGGGCAAGTTGCTTTTGTCCGAAGCCATCGGCTGATGCATCCACAGTGAAAATGGTGGGTACAAGGAAGGCGATACAGTTCTGTTCCGTCAACATATGTACTTAGGCAGATACAACACTCCTGTAGCATAATCAGAAGTAGTTAGTCTCTCTTTCAGTAGTGAGTTCGCATTCAACCCATTTTCCAAAAACAATAAGCTTAAGTTACAAGTTACAACACACAAAGCAATATTAAAACTAAAGAGTTATGGAATGAGAGCTAAGAGAAGACATAGTTTGTACTTACAGAATCATCGGGATGAAGAGATAGTTCAGTGATATGGCTTTGATTGTATGAACTGGTTCTTGCTTTAACAAGTTGATTGTTGTTGTTGTCATCAACCATAAGCCTATACATAGGAAGTGACCTGATATCGTCTTCTGAAGCACCTTCTCTGATTCTTAACGCATAAGCTAAAGCTATTATTGGGATGATGCAGAAGAGAGCAAAGAAAACTATACATGCCATCCCAATGCAAAAGATAATAAAAAATACGTCAAAGGCTAGAAAGACCACTGTTAACCTGCAAGAATGTGATAATAACGCCATTAAGTGTTTGAGACATCCAATAAATGTTGGACAAAAAAGAGCGTATAATTATGTTAAACAAAGTAATGAATTAGTAATACAAATAAACTGTATCTATTGATTCTGGTTTGAGCTCAGACTTTTGACGGAGCCTTAGTCTGAAATTCAGACTCTAAACCCCTGGGTTCAACAAGAGGTCAAATTCCAATAAAATCAAGGCAAGCTTAACAGGTTTTGTTGGAAACAGTCACAAAAATCACAATTCCACCTGAACCTACTTTGGTAAAATTTGTCTCAGGCCAAGAAATACAAGCATTTTCAACCAGGGCTTTCCTATGCATGATATCGTGGAAAAGGCCACTCTGAATTTTCAGTTCAAGATTTAGATTATAAGATCTCAACATATGAAGTTTATTAGTCCTAACCAAGGGTCAAACTATTCAACAAAGTTCTACAGTTAAACCAGTAGACTTTGTATTTTATCCAGATTCGAGGTTGAAATAGCTATAACAAAAAGACATGTGTAAATTATCTGGCGATCTGGTGAGAATTGATAAATGATTACGATTTCTTGAAGAAAGGAATGACCTTGCACAACTTCACCTCAATTTGAGCACAAAAACTGAGAAATTTAAGACAGAACAAAAAGGAGTATAGTTAACTTATCCTTCTTAATAAAAAAAGGACAACACACAAGGCTAAAGCTTTCGTCATGGCAAGGTCCAGAGAAGGGTCGGACCTAAATCAGACCCTCTTATAATAACACATCAACGGCGACTACTTTGAGTACTGTTTATTGGCATTGATGACAACATTTAATATCTGCCCCAGTCCCAAAAAAATGAAAAATGGGAAAGACACATATCCAAACTAGGGTTATTACCAGTAGAGTCGCGGAGAATCTTCAAGAAGTGGTTGGCCACCGACAACAATCCAATAAAATCCAAAAACCCACCAAACAGATGATGCAAGTGTGTTCATAGGCTCTAACTTCTTCGCAATGCTGAAAACAATAAAGACTAGTGAAACGAAAGCTCAATAATCCACCAAAACATAGAGTTCTATCAAAGAAACCTCAATCAGAAATTTGAAAACCATCAGTCATCTCATATAACACCACGAAGGCCTGAACATCAATCACCCAGTCCTCAACCCATTAATAATGGTATCAAGTACCAACGTGTCGTGTCAAGTGTTTGTGTCTCTCTGTTGGTGCTTTATGTTGTCAATAGTGCACTATAGCAGAATAGTGTAGCGATGATAGAACTAAAAGCATGGTGCCGAACTCTATCATTGCTACGCTATACCACTATAGCATTTTTAGGGGGTTATGTGGGATTAACATCATATTGCTCATAGGTAAGCTCAGTAGAAAATGAAATAGGGCATGCTTCATGAAAATTAAGCTCCTTCTAATACACAATAAATAACAATCATTAAGCAATTTGAAGAGGCAATGATTATTAAAAATTCAGCAGAATCTCTAACAAATTTCAATTTGAAATCAGAGCTAGTAATGAACAATCGCTGAAACAATCAAATGTGTAACAAATTAACAACATCACATAGCCCCAAATTATAATCCATAAAATAAAAATAAAAAACAAAAACTGAGTAAGAAAAGTAACCTAATTCAGAAATGGAGAAAAAGAAGAAGAGATAAACCTGTAAGGAGTGTGAGAGAAGGAATCACGACGATATTCAGAGTAAACAAAAGCGACATGGAGAACGCACTCCAAGGCGTATCCACAGAGCCAAAGTCTCAGAGGAGTGGAAGGACGCTCGGCGAGCGTGGATAGGATGACGGCGGCGGCGACAAGCACGAAGGCGAGGTTCCAGACCATGTCGACGACGAGAACCGCCCTTGAATAGGCGCATCCGCCGTTGTCTTCGTCGTCCAATTGGGGTCTCGGGAGGAGGGGGTTATGAGTTCCGAGAGTGATGACCTGGCAGTGTTGGTCTTGTTCAGGCTGTCGTTCCTCCATGTTTATGAATTTTAGAGAGAGAAAGAGGTTTGAATAAATTGTGAGAGAGAGAGAGAGAGAGAGAGAGAGAGAGAGATGAAATGGGTTTTAGGAATGCTTAATAGTCATAAAATAAAATAGTGATAAAAAAGGAGTTAGTAACTGGTGGCGATGGAAGGTCGTGGTGGTGATTTTGGTGGAGGGATACTAATACGATTGGCTTTCTTAAGACAAATAAATCATTATTATAAACTAATTTGTGAAAATTAAATATAATTTATTATTCAAACTCTCTCCTAAAATAATACTACACACATTAAAATATCATAATAATGTGTATAAATCATTATTATAAAATCATTACTGTAAACTAATTTGTCAAAAAGAATAGTGATTTTATGAAGTGTATGATTAATATTAAGTAAAAAAATAATAAAGTAAAAATATTTATTATAACATATAATTGGAAAATTAAAAATAAAATTATATAATTGGAAAATTAAAAATAAAATTATATTGATAATGGAAAGTGATAAGAATGTTGGAACAAATCATTTTTCTAAACACAACAAATATGATGGGAGGAAGGGAGTATAATCATTATCCCTCTATCCCACAATACTTGTTAAAGTTGACACTTTCATAAATATTAAAAAATAATAATAAATGCTAAATTATCCTTATATTTAATGAAGTTAGTATTAATGATAACTGAGAAAATCTATTTTTAATATAATAAAAATAATTATCATCATAATTATTTTATTAATCAATTAAAACCAATTTTATCAAAGATTTTTAAAGACATATAAATTATTATAGTTCTTAATATTTTATTTAATTTAAATTTTATTTTTTACTGCATCTTAATTATTTGTTCGACTATTTTTAACTTCTTCACATATAATCATTGCACCTTCCAATTCATATATTCAATATCCAATATTGGGAACCCTCATCCATTGCACAAGCTTCCTTTCAATTGTACTTTTTCAGGTGTTGCCTCCATCTTTATATGAGATGGCCCTTCATCCCAATTTCTTCCACCCAGAAAATAATTTTCGCCTTAAACAATATTCTTCAAAACAATTTTGCTTTTGTGTTTTGATTTTTAGATTGTTTAATTGAAATCCTAAACAATCATATCAAGATTAATTGTTATTTCAACTTACATAGAACGAACATATACTGATTTTTTCCTGAAATTAATCCATTCTGTTTTATCTTTGCAGAAACAGAAGATGAGTAAGAGATTTGATTGTGTCAAGGACATTAACGATACAAAGAAAACATGAAGATCGGTTGTTCGAGTCATTGATTCATAGAGCGTTATTAACAGTAATGGCGTCGAGCATTTGTAGATGGTTATCATGGATGCAGCTGTAACATTTTTGCATATTTTTCAAATCATATTATCTATTAAGAAAAATAATGTTCTACTGTTATTGATTAGGTTTCTTATGTCATCAGGGTGATAGGATTCAAGTACTGATTCGTGCTGACCATACACCAAAGTGGAAGGAACGAATTCAATAAAATATGACTTGCATAATCAACAATGGCACTGTGTTGGATAATGATTTTCAGTGGAAGCTTTATGATCATTCGAAGAAGTTCGTGTTTCTTGGTCGTACGACTTTAAAAGTTATTGATATTCAGAACCTTCCTCCTAAAAGCTATTATTTCAAAGACTTTTCAGATATCCTTGAAGGAAAATGTCAGCTTAACAGACTTGAAGGTATGATAATATGCATATGTTTTGATTTTTCTATGGGGACTTTATTAACAATGATTATTTTAGATAGTTATTTATACTGAATTTTTTCATTCTTTTTTATAAGATATCATTGGTGCTGTACAAGAGATCAACAATTTTCATAATAACACCCCGGGAAAAAAGACATTTGTTTCACTGAATTTGAAAGACTTGGCGTAATATATTTCATTCATACCCTTTTCAGGATATTACTGTTATTTAAGTTCCAATCTTTCATATGAATATGTTCTTAATATGTCTACTTTATGTACTCAAAATAGTGGTAAAGTAGTCAACTGCATATTATGGGAAAGTTATGGTTCTAGATTTTTGGACTACTACAATGAAGCAACTCACAGTGGTGCTATTGTAATTGTTCTGACTCATGCAATAATCAAGAATTCATAAGGTTTACAATGTTTTATTTTTGTGTGTTTATGTCAGTTATATTTCAATTTTTAACCTTTTTGTTTTGTTGAAATTTTAGTTTCAAATGGATGGAGTGGTTCTAAGTTACTAATTAATGAAGACATTCCAGAGATCACTGAGTTTTTTTCTAAGTAATACTATTAACCATTATTATTGTTAAATTAGACTTTTTTTATTGACAATTATTTACATGAATTGAGTTATAATGTTACAGGTTACCTGCAAATGAGCAGACTAAAAAGCTTACTCAATCCTCAAAATCATTTTCTCTTTGGTCTGGTGCATCCCAGTACACCACAGTTGAAAGGTTTATTCGTAAGGCCAAGTGCATCTCTTTAAGTGAGCTTTGCAAGGTCAAACAAGTATATTCTAACAAATAATATTGAATAACAATTATTATTAGTTATACTTTAATGACATTTCTAATAATTTTTAACTGATTGTTTTTTAGGATATGTTATGTGTCACTATAGCAACTACTCAGAAATGATTATACAATTGGCAGACTAATATGGATTCCTCCAACTACTGAAGAATTGTACTATCTCAGAATGATGCTTACACACGTTAAAGGCCCGCAAAGTTATGCTAAAATAAAGATTGTTAATAATGTCAAGTACGATACATTTTGTGATACATGTTTTACTATGGGGTTTATTGGTGATGGTCACGAATTCATATCTGCAATAACATAAGCTTCTCATTGGGGTTCTGGCCATTACTTAGATTAATTTTTGTTCACATGTTATTGTCAAGTAGCATTAACAGGCCAAAGCATGTATGGAGTAAGTCTCGACATATGTTATCCGATGGAATTATTTATTCTCAACACCTTATTGCAAACAACAAGAGTAATTACTTAATAATTTTAATCTTTTACAAATTAACATTATTATGCCTTTTTATTACAAGTATATATTGTTTGATAATATATTATTTTTGTATCAGGTTTACAATTATCAAATGAAGAAATATTGAATTTAACCTTGATTGAGATTGAAAAACTTCTTCAACGAAGACGTAAGAGTTTAAGTGACTATCCTGAAATGCCAAAACCACAGGGTTATGTAGTTGAGGAGCTTGGAAACAAGCTTATATACGAAGAGCGGAATTAAATCCTGCAGAACAACTTCAGGAGTTCAACATGATGTACGAAAATCTCACAGGTATCAACAATAAAAACATCATACTACTTTTAAACAATAGAATTCTATAAATTTTACTATACATGTGTTTTGCCAAGAATATTTCCATGTTGTACTACAATATGATATAATGTATATTATCTTAATATGGTGTTTTTATATTTTCTATTTATTGCATGACAAATGAACAAAGAGATGTTTTCAAACAAATCATGGTTGTAGTCATACACAACATGGAGGCGTGTTCTTTCTGTATGGATATGGTGGGACAGGAAAAAAGTATATGTGGAGAACATTAGATTCTTACATAAGATCAAGAAAACAAATATGCTTGACATTTGCTTCCTCCGGTATTACATTCCTCTTGATCCCTGGTGGTCGAACGACGCATTCAAAATTTAAGATTCTAATTCCCACGCTTGAATCTTCCACATGCAATATAAACAAGGGAAGTGACAGAGGCGACCTACTAAAAGTATCAAAATTGATAATTTTGGATGAGGCTCTAATGTGTCACAATTTTCGTTTTGAAGCATTGGATAAAACACTCAGAGACATCATGGGAGGATCCAAAATCATTAGATAAAATATTTGGTGGTAAGGTTATTGTGTTTGGTGGCGATTTCAGGCAGATTCTACCGGTTATTCCAAGAGGCAGATGTTCAGATATAATTCATGCAACAGTCAATTCATCATACATATGGGATCATTGTAAGGTTTTGAAACTCATAAAAAACATGCAACTTCAACAACCTGGGACAACATCAACTCTTTCTGAGTTAGATTAGTTTTCAAATTGGATATTAAAAGTTGGAGATGGAAAGTTAGCAAAAACTAATGATGGTTACGCAAATATTGATATTCCAACCGATCTGTTGATTACAAATTTTGATGATCCCCTTGCAGCAATATTTCAAAACACTTATCCAAAATTTGAAGTTAATTTCAATAATGTAGCTTTTTTTGCAGTCAAAGGCAATATTGGCTAGAACCATCGAGACAGTTGATCAAATAAACCAATATGTATTAGAATGTCTTCAAGGTAATTGGCAGACAATATCTTTAACTATTGTCATCTATTTGTCAAATTTAATAATCTACATAATAATAAAAAAATCATTGTATTTATAAACAACATATCATCAATTTATGATATGTAATGGGCTATAAACAACACAAGTGTTTTATATATATACCAGAGCATTTTGTCCGAACATGTTTGATTCGGTTACATTCGACATCCACTTTACCTCCTCACTATAATCAGTCGTGCGTTCGGCCTCAGTAAGAAACCAATCTTTTATGAGAGTTTCATACATCTTATCTTGCTCTTCCTAAAAACCTTTTTTGAACCTATGCATCCATTCAAGATAGTCTATCTCAGGATCACTGAAACATTAATAACAAAGGTATCATTATTGTTAAAAGAAAATCAGAGAAAATATATGCTATACCATATCTGTCAATATCTCTCACATAAAAATTGTGTGAAAGTATATCTCTCTACATAAGAAAGTATATTACTGCATGCATGAATTGATAAAATATAACTATTCATTTGCTTTCAAATGGTAGTATATTTATGCATGCAAGAAACACTTACTTGCTGAAAGGAGAAGGAATAAAGGGTACCCCCCACTTCACCATCTTCAAAATTCAATTGATAATGTTTATTTAGCTGCACTATTTCA